GACAAAGAAAATTCCGGTTTTAAATTAAATGCAATAAATTCTTTCACAAAAAATATCGATTTTAAATTCAACGCAATTAATGTTTTCCACCCGGTGGCGTTTCAAAAAATTTACGTCTTTTCAAAGTCGTTTTAAACGGAGTGGCTGAAAAAAAGGAAAGTTTTAAGAAATATTCAATTAATTACAATCTCTTCAGATTACCATATAGTGAGTACACTAAATCCTTGTTCTGCCGGCTTGGGGTACGTAGTAAATTTGTAGAGTTTTGAGAATTCTCTTTTCCTGTTTCTAAAGACACGTAAGGAATCCAATGTTCTGTGGGGATTTTTAAAAGGTGCTCCATAATTGTACATTGTGAATAAATTTCAGCCAATATGGCACCCTGCTCAAGGTCATCTGAAGAATTGCCAAATATAGTGGGTGCAAATACACGTGCCAAGTTCTTTAACGGCATTGAGACTTCGGGAGATTCAGCCACGCGTTGAAAATGTAAAATAAGAAAAGCTAAAGTATCGCGATTTGGCTGTGGCAAACGGCCAATAGCTTGGGTTAGGTGCCTAACTATATCTTCTTCGGACTGATTCTGCACGGCGTTACAAAAAGTTTCCCATAAAGTTCTGGGTATCAAAGGATCGCTTAAAGAACGTAGAAAATCTTTTATGCATCCACAGAGAACATGCACATCAATATTGCCCAAATGGGGTATTGTCTTGTTTTTTAGAAAACGTTCTTTAAGGGCCTTAATTTCGCGTTCAGAACCAGAAACCCGATATATGCCTTTTTCCTGCAAACCCCTAGATTCTATCTCATGTACGCAATGAACAATTAAAGCTGGAATCATTGGAGGTACTACCGGCGCATAATCAGCTAAATGGCTCATCAACCCTTTGTTTGTAGGTGTACCAGGCACACAGCAGATTGTTAGATGTGGGCGACAGTTGATGTGACAGCGCACCGGACAGTCACGGCAACGAAGACCGTCCATATTAAAACGTATTCTAATAAGGACATTCAAAATAAATTCCAATTTTATTTTCTTTCATATTAACTAAGAAACGATTGTACCTTTTTTGACAATTGATGCATATCTCCGGCTTTATGAACTTTTTTCTGGCAAAGTTATGACCTCGTTTGAGAGTTCCTGTAGTACTCGGAGTAATTACTGGAGTTATGGGTTTAATCGTAGCTGGCGTAGATATCGATTTTTGTGGTGTACAAGCAGGTGCTTCATCAATATATTCTATGTCACCTAAAGCATTCATCTGACGTGCCTGCGGTGGTGCAGTTTCTATTGTACTTTCAGCTCGTATAGCACCCTGACCATCTTGCGGTATAGTAACTTTCGTGGTAGCCACGATACGTTCTG